AGATATTATGCGCGTTTTTGCAAGATCGGTTGTAATTTTAGTGTTACAAGTTTTCTTTTGCCGGCGTACCCATACAACATCATTTCATTGAGTTTAAGAGTCCTCATCAAGCAACAGAGCACCTCCTCTCTCAGTAATCATTACTTCCACTTCAAGATCGAAAATAAGGTAGGAAGTTGAAATTATCTCGTATTTTATAATTAGGGGACCTCCGTAATTCCGACCCACTTAATCAGCCACGAAACATCGTAGACTGGGCAAATCGGCTAATAAGGCAACCTCGGTAATGCAGTGGAGCTATAGACAGCCGTTCCTTTTGGAAGCGTACACACGCTTCGAGAAGGATGTTGAGAAGTGACTTTAGGAACAAGGAATGGACCTTTCCTGTTTGAGGCAAACTTTCTCAGTATCGCATGGATCTTTTCTGAAGTTTCTTTATTTCCCTCTTCTTTGGGTAAGCTGTCACAATAGACCATTTGCTATATTCCAAGCGCCCCGGCCCGCACTCGAGGAATCATGGGAACAATGTTCCTTCAGCTCCCTAGTGACCACTAATTTTCGACCAACTCCATGGTTACACAGTTTTTGAGCGTAATTCGGAGTCACCCTGAACAAGCGCCTGATATACCCCAAGGACCTGGCATATCACTTTTAAAATTGCTCGTCAATGTCAGCATTTTTTATACTTCACATGCGATCCACCTTTCAACCTGGCTGAGCTGCAGAAATCTCTTACAATATGATCATTCTCATGATTGTTGTTTGAGCAGGAATTGCTTAAAAAGTCGATAATTCACAACAACAAAAAACAGGATTTAGCTCGGAGTCTGCAGGACTGTTTATAGCATTTTTAGCGTTTCTAACTTAATATCAGCATGATAATAATATAAGAGATTTCTGCAGCCTATCCAGGTTGAAGGGTGGACAGCATGCATAGTATCAAAAACGCTGAAATTGAGGAAAAATTTTAAAGGTGATATGACAGGTCATTGGGGTATATCAGGTGTTTGTTCAGAGTGACTCCGAATTACGCTCCAAAGCTGTGTAGCCAAGGATAGGGTCGGAATTACCGATCACTAAGGAACACCGTTCCCATGATCCTTTTAGCACGGGCCGGTGCACTTGGGGAAAATAGCAAATTGTCTATAGGTTCATTCCATGCCAAAGGAGATGCGGCAATTTTTTCATGTCTGGGATATGAACGAAAAAATTAATTTGGATAAATAAGCCTCTCAACACCAATAAAATTATTATGTGAAAAAATAAAAAAATTTGCATAAAACCTATGTAGCTAAGTTAAACATTGTAAGAAACAATTGCCTATCACACAAATATAGGTAGGCACCTAATTACTTAATAATATGCCCTACCTTACATTAAGGTATGCCATTTTAAGTCCAAATAAAAACTATAAAAAAAATAGATTTTTTTTTTGTCATTTTGGTTTTGGGTGTTAGCTACAATACTTTTTTCCTTTGTTCTTTTAAAACAAATAATTAAATTGCTTGCATTAAATTTCCGAAATCTGTTTTAGTGCATTTCAATTAAATGCCAAAGTGTTCATCTTATGCAGAAACGGCCATGTTGAGAGCTAGAAAAAAATTTTGACAGCCGTGCCCTGAATTTTCAAAATAGCCAAAAGTTCAATTCAACTCATCTGTAACTTATACAAAATTGGAAAAGTATGTTTTGTTTTTGCTGAGAAATTATTTTTTAAAGGTCAGCCTCTCTCAACATGTCTCCAGGCGCCCCCTTCGTAGGCGACGCACGCCGGCATTCGCTGGCGAGGCGTCAACGGTGTGAGACACCACCGCTAGGTCTCCAACGCTCTCTTGAAAACATGTTTTATTCAGTTGAAGTGAATGTTATCCTGACTTCCATCCATCTGTATCCTCTACGTTACCTAATGACACCGGCGTCTTAATTTTGCTCTACTTTTGCCCAGGCAACTGCCCACAAACGCAGGCCTGCATCGTCTGCTTCCTTAGTTTGGGGATGCATACTGCACGTCGGCCTCGTCTGTCGAATGTCCAGATATAAAAACAATTCAGACCGGATAGCTCTTCACCAATGCAAAATGATAACAGTAATTTCACTTCTCTAGTGAACTTGAATGTATTTTGATAGAATATGTAGTGCTACTGTAGTAAAGTTGACTTTTGGGAAAGTTGGTAGTCTAACATGTTGAGGTATTTAGCACACAAAGTAGAGAGAAGAAGAAGAGGACAGAAAAGAGCACTCTTTTCTGTCCTGTTCTTCTCCCTACTTTGTGTGCTAAATACCTCAATATGTATTGCTACCAAAAGCCGTTTAATGATGGATAAAGGATTTCACTCTTTGCGGCGGACGCCTCACACCCCTGAGGTTCCATTCATGTGCTGTATTTTAGGCTCCGGAATACACTGGAGGCCAACGGAACATGTCTCGAATTCTGAACTCACTAGTATTTTTAGAAGAAGTGTGTTTGGTAAGAGGTGGGAGTTATATGGGTGCCGTCTTTGCCATCGGAGCGTCAAGCTTGGCGGACATTAGATGAGGTAATAACCATTGCGGTAAGCTGGTTCTTTAACCAATTGTTCAATAAATTTCTAATAAATGGTTTAATGACCTATGTAGCGATTGCACTATTGATGCCAACTACGATCAGAGGCTTGACCAATTAACAGAATTTGTGAAAAGTTAATAGTGTCTTTGATACTATTACCCTTTCACACTATTTATCGACCAGTTTTTGCGTTCTTGCTGTTAGATTTTATTGCGTGCAAAGATTGCCACAAGTCCTACCCCCAATGGCGCTTAGAAGAGTGACATAGTTGCTTCCATGAGGCCGTCACTATCTTGGCAACGCATCCTTGGTGGGTGCTACATCAAACTTCAGTACATGTTATTCCTATCAAAAAACACTTAAGTTCAATTGGGAAGCGATGTCATTGTTATCATTTTTTATCGGTGAAGAGCTATCTGGTCTGAATTGTGTTTATATCTGAAGATATGACAAACAATGCCGACGTGCAGTCTGCATCCCCAAACTCGGAAAGCAGACGATGCAGGCCTGCATTCGTCGACAGTTACCTGGGCAGAAGTAGAGTAAAATTAAGACACCAGTATTATTATGTAACGTGAAGAGGAGGCGGATGAATGGAAAACAGGATGACATCCACTTCAACTGAATAAGCAGTGTTTTCAGGAGAGCGTTAGAGACATTGCGGCGCCATCTCACGCCGTTGACGCCTCGCTGGCGAACGCCAGCGTGCGTCGCCTACGAGGTGGGCACCTGGTGGCATGGTTGGAGAGGATCATCTTTAAAAAATAATTTCTCAGCAACAACCAGAAGTACTTTTTCAATTTTTTGGTTTGTTGAACAGATGAGGTGGATTAAACTTTTGGCTATTTCGAAAGTTCCGGGCACCGCTGTCCACATTGCTTTTTCTGGCTGTCAATATCTCCATTTCTGCGTAAAGTAGAGATTTTATCATTTAATTAAACTGTAACAAAACGAGGCTTTGAAGAGTTAATGGAAGCAATTCAATTATTAGTCTTAGGAGAACAAAGGAAAAAGTAAAGAAATCTCACAAATATTTTCTTTTTGGAGCTTTTATTTGGACAAAAAAAGTGTCTTTTAGTATTTGTATCTTAATCTAACATAGGGCATATTACTAAGTAATTAGGCACCCACCTAAATTTGTGGGACAAGCAACCATTATTTTTACAATGTTTTTTGTTGTTTTTTAAACTACAAAGGTTTTATGCAAATTCCTGAAATTTAAAACATGAAATCAGCAAAAATAAATATTATTTTTTCTCAAAAGCATATTTCTTTTTTTAGTTCACGGGTTTCTTTATCCAAATAAATTTTTTCGTACATATCCCAGACATGAAAACATTGCCGCGTAATCTTTGGCATGGAATGACCCAATAGTGATGACGCTAAACTTTTGGCCGACGTGCTTGCAGTGTTTGTTAGACAATCCTCGCCCGTGATCAACCTCGCTGACCTTGTTTGGGTTTATCCAGGTTAATCCCCTTACGAAGCCTCTTCGGAGACCCAAATATATCGAAACGCACAATGATTAGTGTTGTGCAAATATTTGAATAATAGTTTCGAATATTACTCTTTTCGATATTCGCTTCGAGAGCATTTGTAATCGTGCTTTTCAAATCTGTTGGCAAACTCACTGTCGCAAGTTTGTTTACTGTCTAAAAATCAGTAAGGAGCAATTTTTAAAATCAGGAATATATTAACACGTTTGGCAAGACGGTATAAATATTATGGTGGGATCTGTCAAATATATTCATCGTAGTTATTTCATAAACTTTTTTTATTAACGGGCAAAAAATACAATAAACGAATTCCAGAGACGTTGGCACCATCTTTGCCAATCTTGGCACCCTGGTTGCTAGCATTCTTTTCTCATCACCGTCGCGTTCAGGCTTAAAGTTTGAAAAACAGGTTTAGGATAAAAATAAGTACCTTTAGAAATTTCTCACAACCTGCACAATTGCTCAGAAAATTTTATTTGCAAGAAAAATTTAAACACCATTTCAAAACATTTAAATATAATATTTCAAAATGATATTATATTATTACAGCGACAAGGTGTGTGAATGGCATCGATATTGTCAAAATAGCAGAAACTAGGTGGGTTGGCAAGATGAACTCTAACGACAGCATGAAAAATCCAGCTTTGAACTTCCCTCTAAAAACGGCCAAGATTTTTAAACGGCAAATATTCGATATTCGATTAGAAAATATTCGGCCAAAATCACTATTCGCTTCGAATTTGATACAAACTCAAAATCCACTATTTGCACAACCCTAATGATGACCTATGGGTTTGTGATGCGACGAATTCTTACAGCAACAAGTCTTCCATGACGAATGTTCTGCTGCAACAAACGGGCCTCTTACCGATTGCTCAATGGCGAAATGGCCGTATTCCGTTTCCCCTCATACTGCTAGGTTGAGGAAACTCTGTTATCTTCTGTGTTTTCCCCAACAGATCCGGTCCAATCGGAATGGGAGGGCTCCGGCTGCTGGAAAAGCGATAACTCTACCCAACAACAGCTGGACCACGGACGGCACGACAAGGGGGAGAGGCACATCTACCACTTTGGTTCTGTCTCCGGTGTCTCCAAAAACGATGTCTCATTGCACGAAAGGACACAGGTAGAACAGCGAGCCTTTCGGTTCTCTGTCTCTCGTAAGGCACACACTGACAGGCATAGTTTGGATGCTACTGCAAACACTCAAACGGACGAAGCGCCATTGCAGTGTGCCACTTGCTCAAAGGTATTTTCCCCAAAGGAGTCCTTGGTTGCCCCTGAAAATATTCATATTGGTGGAAAGCCCTATGAATGCGACACTTGTGCCAACAGAACCGTGTGGAGATTCAGCTTTCGAAATCAGCAAGTGGCATACACGGACAGAAATCACTTCAGGTGTCCAATGTGCCCAAAAACATTTCAGTGGAAACATTCCTTGGATATTCACCAAAGCGAGCACTGTTTGAGCAATACTCTCAGAAAAGTGCTGCCCTTTAGTTGCTTCGTGTGCAAGAAGAAGTTTGCTTGCTGGTCTGACTTGCAGTTTCATGTATCGACTCACAGGGTTAAAGAGGTTTTTAAACACACCACCTCTCTTAAAGCATTTCAAATGAAATATCACTCGACTGCCCATAAAAAGGTTCGCACGGGTGAAAGGCCTTTCAAATGCCCTTCCTGTCCTGAAGTATTTCAAAAACAAAATTTTTTGGTTGTTCATATTTTAAAGATGCACTCGAATGGAAGACTTTTTACATGCTCTACCTGCCCCAGAGCATTTTTGTGGAAGCATGAACTGGTTAATCATGAGAGGATTCACACAAATGAAAGCCTCTTCAAGTGTCCTGCCTGTTCTAAGGCATTTTTAACACAGGGTGACCTGCTTGATCATGAAAAGATTCACACTGTTAGAAGGCCCTTCAAATGCTCTGCCTGCCCTAAGGAATTTCATTATAAGCAGTCATTGACGAGGCATAAAATCACTCACCAACCAGGTTGCCCAATCGCCCATCGATCCAAAGACCACATTTCATCAGACCCATTTAGTAGAGGGTCTTGCATGAGTTCTCATGAAAGGATTCAGCAAGATGGCATAGGCTGCAAACCAAGCACCACTGGCATAGTGTTTGTTGAGGAGCCACACCTAAATGCTCACAAGGCTGTCCCCATCCCACCGAAAGCATTCACATTCGGTCTTCCCCTTCCTTTGAAGCTCCCCTTCCGGGTGAAGCTTCCTTTGAATGTTCTCTCAAATTACAAGGGTAAGATCCACAAATGCACCTCTTGTACTCTGGCCTTCACTAATGAACGGCACCTGAGAGCCCACCAGGTAGCTCACACAAGATGAGGGTACTTCCAATGCCTCATCCACTTTGAATTTTTTGGGGAGTTGACCTTGAATAAGTTAAAAATGACGACATTCCTTTGACCTTTCTTTTTCTAAAAGTTGGATATCCTTGGGTATCTGCAGTAAAGACGAGGCTTTCTATGACTGTGTTTCTTCTTGAAACAGCCGGTGTATTGGCTGTTATGATTTGTACAGTACTTGGATGTGTGTCAGAGTTACTTTGTTTTTGTTGTAACCTTTCCATTAATTCAAGACCAGCTTGAGAGCCTATGAACATAGTCTTTACTTTGGTATGTTGTATGTTTTTGCAACAAAGACGATTGAATAAATGAGGTGCTCTTTATCTCAGTTCTGCCCAGTCCATGACGGTGGTGGTGTCCACAAGGGGTTGGTGAAAGAATCCACCAGCATTAATCAGCACGGAAATGCAGTCAATAAACTCTCCATATCAGTGTGGACATAGAATAAAAAGGGTTTCCGGAAATTCTACCGCAAATTCCATGCAAACATTCCCCCCCCCCCTTTGACCAAAAGTTGCATTTTAGGATGTTCATGTTTTGTTGTGTGAGCCCCTTTTTCTCTTTTTTTTTTCTCCTCTCCAATTTTGACTTTCCGCTCTGTCTGTTGGTCTAAGTTACTGATAACTAAGGTTTGACCCTTCTCTCACATAGCTTCTTAGCTCCTTTATTGTCCTTTTGTCGTTTGAGTTGAGGTTACTCTGTTTGGCACACGTGCACTGTTGGAAATGTTCTTTCTTTTGGAAAGTTGTGCGCTGCCTTTCTTTTTTTTTTTGTGAAGGTGCTTGAAGTCTATAGACAGGATTTTCGTCAATAAATATCAGCTGTGTGTGAGACTGTTGTGTCGTGTTGTCCCTCATACTCTCCAGTCTCTACATTTTAGTCTATCATGTTACTCGTCATGAGTTGTCGTTTCCTCTTCTCCACTTGCCTTCTCTTCAGTATTCACTCTGCTAAGGTTAGAAAAAGTGTGGAGGGCTTTGTGGGAAAAACTTGTCCGGCTTTTCTTAGCCCGTAACAGTCTGTAGCTGTAGAGTCAAGAATAAACAGTATGTAAGCGATTTGGCAAGCAACGAGAAAAGCGACGGCGATCCGCTTCGTTGTCACTCGGTCAGTCGTGCGACGAGGCAAACCGCCTAAAAGTAATGGGAACAAGCGACCAAGGTGATGAGCAACGTTTTCTGTAAATCCGAAAACCGAGCGACGCGCTCGTCACTGACTTTTGTTGCTGTCACCGTCGCTCGTCTCGTCACTCGCTAAATCGCTTACATGTGGCTCGGTCTTCAAAGTAGTGTTTGTGTCCCATGTTATAGACCCATATCAACTAGTGTGCCTTGCATAATTGTGGAGCATGTCGTTTCCTTTCACGTTGGGAAATACCTGTCAAAAAATCAAATATATAGCAATAATATCTATACCCTTTTCTACCTCAAGAACCATAGTAAAAAAGTGGAAGCCGTTTACAACTCCCAGTAACGCCGAATTAGAGCGCAGCTCTTGAGGAGGAGTAGGGAAGGGTACTGAGGGGGGGAGGGGGGGTCACGTGACTCCCATGAGGTCACGCGACCCCCCTCCCCAAGGTCACTTGGAAGGTCACGTGACCTGGGGGTGTCGCGTGACCTCGGGGAGGGGGGGTCACGTGACCCCCCAGTGAAAATTTTTCCGCTAGATTTAGCGGGGAAATTTTTCCGCTAAATCTAGCAGGGAAATTTTTCTGCTAGATTTATTGGGGAAACTTTTCCGCTAGGTTTAGCTGGGAAATTTTTCTGCTATAGGAAATTTTTCTGCTAGATGTGGCGGGGAAATTTTTCCGCTAGATCCAGCTGGGAAATTTTTCTGATGGATTTAGCTGGGAAATTTTTCCGCTAGATTTAGCGGGGAAATTTTTTTGCTGTGTCATTTATGATTGTATTACTAAAGTGGAAAATCATTTATAGTTACAGCAGGATTTAAGTATGTTTTCGCTGGTGTAACACCTACCACCTGGCAGATGAAGGTAAATGTAAGCAAGAGCAAAATACTAACATTTACTGGTCAGAAAAATCCTGTAATATGAACTATGCCTTACTAACAAGGCACCTCGAAAAAGTTTCAAGCTATAAATACCTACCTAGACGTAACATTTCCCAATGACCTAGCTTGAAATACTCGCATTAACACTATAAGTGGCTTGCGCTTGTAAGTATTTAGAATATTTTAAATGTAACCTACACCTTGCTCCTCGTTTAAAACTAACTGCATATAAAACTAGTTGGATCCAATTTTGACTAAGACATTAACTTTCTTGGGTGGCCTTATCGAGCGTACCTCATTAACAAACTCAGATCGGTCCCAAATAAAGCATTGTTTCATATCGCATGACTAATTGCAGACATCAAGCGTAACTTTACCAAAATAAAAGCTAGAGCTTCGTTCATTAACTAAAAAGTAAACTTGCCTGTCTTGTCATGTTTCACAAAATATACCATTCCTCTTCTTCCCATGGCACATCAGTTTGTACCGTGACCATAACTTAAAAGGAAATCCTTTATTCGAGAAAACTGATTAATTTCAAAATTCTCCGCTTTCAGTAGCCATCACTGACTGGAATTCTTTCTTAAGCAATTGTACTCAAACCCAATCAGGCTAAATTTGGTGACCTTTGCAAGGTACATCTCACAAGTGGTTTTCATTAGTCAAAATGTTTATTATATCACTGACTTCTTTTTTTACTTTTTTTTTACGTCCTGTATAATATGTATGTTGGTTATCGTTAATAGAACTTTTTGGCAACCTTCACTGTAAATATTTTGTGCTAGATCCCCCCTTCATGTCATGCACTTCGTTGAAGTGCCTTTGAGGATTATTAAAGTGAACTGAAAAGGCCCTCTTGTTAAGGTTGCATAGTCGCCAAGTGGGATTTTCTTAAGTTTCAGTGTGAGATTCTCGGTAAAGAAAGCACAGCTTGCAGTGCTGCACCATTGTGATGATGGACCAAGACAAAAAGTCTCCCGTAACATGAGGGGGGTCCCTACAAGAAGGTGGGAAAGGGGGGGGGAGGGGGGCAGGGGGATTATTACGAGATGTACTGATGCAGATAAAATAAATCCCACTTCTGACTCTGCCCACGCTTACCTGCAACCTTCAAACTGCTAATCCCCAAATGTCACATCCCTGAAAACAAGCTATTTTATTGCAAGATGTGATTTTGATTTCACTAATGCTGGGGCTGTGGAGGAGGGTCTGAGACCATCCGTTAAAATCAGTGGGGGGTCTGAGACCCCCCAGACTTTAAGCCCTGGGTGGAATGCATTATATGCTGTGACGTGCATACAGTCCCCTGCAATAAGAAATACTCATTCGCCTATTCAGTTTGCACGTTGGTGTTAAGCCCACACATGCCAGACACACATAATTTTGAGAGAGGGGAAAAGAACAAAGGTTAATTTATTTTTCCATGCCAACAAATGTCCTTGTCAAAGCGAATTTGGCAGATCCACCTTAAAATGCATTCTCTAATAGGTCTTTCATATTGGAGGGGGGTACATTAATTTCACGCTGGAGGCATGTTTTCGACCCGGATATGTCTGTACTGTTTGTCAACTATTTTCTGCTAAGTTGTGAAGAGTGGCATAGAGTCACTGGATGCTTGGAAAGTATCACCACTGCCTTCCCCGCCTCCTAGCAGGACAAAGACAGATACTAAAAACTATGCCTTATCTCTGGATTCTGCCGAAGGAAGTGCAGCCAGAAAAAAGGCATAGTTTTTCTCTGTTAATTTGTCTCTCCATTCTTGTTTGTCCATCAGCTTAAGGCTGTTGCGTAACTTATTCACCAGCGGAGAAAGGCACAGATGTCTCACTGGACTCGTGAGCAACGTCTTTGCTTTCTCTTTCCCAGCAGTGCCAGGGGAGACACTGCTACCCACTCCTATGACACTGCTACCCACTTTGAAGACTGTAACAGAATGCTGCCTACTTTAAGGACTGTGACAGAATGTGCCACCTGAGCAACACTGCTGCAGTTGAAATAGGTAACATCACCTACAATTTTCTTGTTTTTACAACCACAATAATTTTCTTAGAAGACCTCTCGATTGAAGCAGTATGGCCAAAGAAACGTTCAATGACATTAGCGGTTTGTAAAGTAGGTTAAATATGATGTTACAGTGCTTTTGGAAAGCTCGAAACTAGTCAATGAGACAACAAAGAAAATAAACTTTATGTTTAGGCCAATGTGGATTAAGCGTATGACTCTTTGCCTCTCTATAACGGAGAGTGTTGAGCTGACCCAATTTCCTTCGTGTTCCCTCTGGCAGAGCAAGATGAAGACTGCCTTTTCAGCCTCCGAGGGCAAGCACCGTGCGGACGGTGAGGACCCGTGCTCTTCGCACGAGCACTTGGGTGTAGGCCAGACAACCTCCGTGCTTGTGAAGCAAGGCAAGATCCTCTCAGGACACTACTTTAGCTGCTTTATAAGTCGGGCAAGCAAGGGGGAGTGCGATTTGTAGTATTCACATTCCACATCCCTACAGCTCTGGTTGGCTGGACGTCTAAGTAGGAAGGAGCATGGTGCACTTCGGCACTTCCACCCTTTTTTCCATTCGCGTTCAGATTGCCCTCAGATGCTTGGTTCTACATGTGGCGCCTGTGAGAGCATACTAGCTGTTATCTGTCTCAATATACGGCTGGGGCAGTTTGGCTATTTTGTAGATGCACATTATGCCGAGTTATGGCACAATCCTTTAGCATAGAATGTCTTATATGGCTGTCCTCTAGCAGTCTCTGGCAATGCACTCCTGTAACAGAAGAGCACTGCGCAAGTACTGCATTGGCATTTTGCCAAACCTCGTGTTCAAAGGTGTCTAAAAAATCCAGCACTGTCGATTTTATGTCTGGGAGGTGTTGAGAGTGTGCAGTAATGGGAGAGAGTGCAGGAGGTGAGGGGCAAGAGGACAAGCACTTGCTTCGGAGGAAACGGGGAGATATGTAATAGCCAGGTCCACGCTTGCCCCTGCAACAGCAAAAGATGTGAACTTTGCATTCTACTCCTTCTGGAGCTGAAGCTCAGGCAGGGCTTTCTTTGTGAAATGTTGCGCACGACGATGTTCGTGCTGTCGAGATACAAAATGCGTACCGAACTCATTTGTGCAACATCACTGCAAAGCAACACCGAATACTTTTTGTATTACCGCTACCTTTATCACAATAGTGAAAGGAAGAGGGGAATTTATTTCTTAATGATTATTGGTAAATTTTTTTTCAACCCGACTCAAAGATAGAGCCCGAAGAAATGTTGCCTACTCCGGCGGATGAAAGCATGCAATCGAACGACTGCATTGGAGCATCCAATGCTTCATGACACTGCAAGGCACATGAAGACAACCCTGTTTCGGTCAAAGAAGGTGTTAAGCCTTTGAGGTCACGGCCAGGGGTAGGGATGCCGCGAACTTTTTTCGAATCGAAGTTTCGATGATCGAATCAAGCGGTTCGAAAGGTTCGAAAGATTTCGAATTTTCTAACTTTCCATATCGAGAAATTCGACGGAAGTCGAATTTTCGAACTTATTAAACTAAGAAGTTCGACGCTTTTCGAATTTTCGAACTTATTACGCTACAAAATTCGATGCTTGTCGAACTTTCGACCTTGATAGACTAAAAAATTCGATGATTTTCGAACTTTCGAATTTCTTGCACTAGAAAGTTCGAAGCTTTTCGAACTTTCGAACTTCCTACGCTAAGAAATTCGATAATTTTCGAACTTTCGAACTTATTAATCTAAAGAATTCGAAAATTGTCGAACTCTACGATTGCTGAAAAGTCAAAAGTTCGATGAACTTCGAACTTTTAGGA